AATAAAAATTAGATGGAATTTGACATGTCTTAGAATAATGTAAAAGAAACGGTCACATTCGTGAAATTCCAGTACCATTGTTAAATTGTTACGTCTCACGATACGGGTACAGTTGGAACTATCTGTATACAACTTGAACACATTTATAGAGCTTCTATTATGGCGATCTAAACATGCGCCACTTTTTGATGTGGTCACTCTATGTAAATATCACAAAACTATTGACGTATTGCCCGTCTAATTGATTTACTTATATCAACGCCTTGTTGATACAAATGATTAAATTTTACTGACTGAAACTCGTTATTCTCGCCAATGCAATTTTATCTACTTGAAACCTATTGATGGACCTCAATCAATATGAAATCAAAAGCACTTGAATATCATTTGCCAAATAACAGACTTTTGTCCATATCGGTTAAGTAAATGGAGAATATGTAAAGACCACTGATAAAACGGAGATTTGACCACCCAAAATGTAATACAGTATCAGTGCAATGTGACCTACGATAGTGTTTGTATGACTTGTTCTTACATTTACATATCGGTGACTCATCAAATATTCCTAACAGACTTTTGTCCATATCGGTTAAGTAAATGGAGAATATGTAAAGACCACTGATAAAACGGAGATTTGACCACCCAAAATGTAATACAGTATCAGTGCAATGTGACCTACGATAGTGTTTGTATGACTTGTGCTTACATTTACATATCGGTGAGTCATCAAATCATTCCTGAAATAGCTCAGCAGAGTCCTTTGCATTAATTTTTGCGTCCTGCCTTTTTTTCAGGGTTGTTTAATGAACTGTTGTGTAACAAACTATTGCAAAAAATTTTAGCTTTGGTTTTTAGCTTCTATCAAGTGTAGGCTCAAAGAAAATAATGATAAAAAAAAATGTAATGTTTTTGTGATGAAAGATTATATTTTTAAAAGTTGTTATTTTTCAATGGACTTTTTAGGGGTTTAAGTTTTTAAGTTATTATTGACTGAATATAGCAAACAGTGCAGACCATGAGCAGACACCAGACGGTACAAATTTGCTGGCTGATCGTGGTCAGCACTGGTCTCATGGGTAGAATCTGTTGCGACCATCAGTCTAAAGGTTAATTGTTGAACATAATCTGTATTTTTATAGAGATAAACATTCTGGCTATGTTTGATCAAATCAAAATGGTGACCTCAAGATAAAGATTGAGTGTTAAAAAGGAATCTTTACTTTTTTGATCTGGTATTTTCTTATTGACTGTTTATATATACATTTAATCGATTTGGTTTAAAATAATTGTTATGTTTAACACCCCCAAATTTTGGGTTTAGAAATGTTCAAAAAATTTAGTTTTCCTTGTCCGGCTACATTGATTTATTGCATTTGATAACTTGTTAACTTTTCGTTGGATATTAATACACAAGCAGATCTAAAGTTGCGAAGTCACTTATTTTACCGAGATAAGGTGTGGAAAGGCGAAGAAGAATTGAACAAACTTTTTAATTTACCTATATTGTTAGATAAATTAATGGGCCCACACTTGACAAATACCATATATACTGGACGGCTACCCGGGTGTCGAGGGTTATCAAATAATCGCGTGTTTATGAGAATTATGGTTTCTGCGGCTCTTCAGTAATATTTGGACGGCTGAAGTGTCCACTCATTCAACAGGAATGAAGAGATGTAGACATCAAACGAAACGTTATCGGCCAGATTTAATGTAATATTTACAGTGTTATAAGCGTAATCTACAATGGCACAGTACGTTCTCAAGACAGCTAGAGGGTGACAATGTATCTGGATGTAATTTCGTATTTAGAGGCTGTTCGGACAAGTTTTGCTGTAAAAATAAACATTTAGTCAAGTTCCGTTAACTGATTGATTTCAGAAGAACTGATAAAATAAACATTATCTGTATTAAAAATGATAACATTGAAATGATTATATATACGTGCAGGATATACATGTAAACATCCAAAAATTATTGCCTGGTTTAGTTTTTACATTTATGTAAAATTATAAATGTGGGGCATGTTAAATGAACAGGAGAGTCAGACAGGGGAGGTAATTGGGTGATGTGATTTATTTGATTATCTGTCTTTGAAGGGAGAGTAGTCTGGTATGAATGTATGTCACTGGTGTGAATGAAAATACTAGTATATAACAATACAATGACAAGAGTTTATTGATCAAAATGAGGCATATTAACAAACTGTTGAAAATAATCCCAATTTAACCGTAAGTCTACTGGAGGCCAATGAATTTACCCATGCGGCCAGTTCAGACTAAAATCAATTGGCACATCCAATTTCCATCGTTTGAAAAGTTCATGTTTTGAAATTTTCCCCAAAAAATGATTAATGGTTTAGTCCATATTGAGAGATGGACAAGTCCATTTAAATCAGATGTAAACTTAAAAGTAATGTTTATTATGTAAACCATTGTTCCATTGCATAACTCTATGGAAAACTTTATGAAAACTTTCAGAAAGCCCTGTTTGTCTTGTAATGCCTTATCTGTCCGGTATGATCATTTGTTACCATCATAACTTTTGTTTGGTTTAAAGCAGCAATATCTCAAGGCCATTTGTTCATCATAATCTAATATGACAAGCTCAAGGGCAATGTTTTTGAAAAAAGGGGGCAATGTCCTTTTGAGTTTAAGTTCTTTAATCATCTAATATATAGTTACCATATGTGCCGCGTCACGACAAAACCAACATAATGGGTTTGCGACCAGCATGGATCCAGACCAGCCTGCGCTGCCGCGCAGTCTGATCAGGATCCATGCTGTTCGCTATCAGTTTCTCTACTTGTAATAGAGTTGGTAAGCGAACAGTATGGATCCTGATCAGACTGCGCGGAGGCGCAGGCTGGTCTGGATCCATGCTGGTCGCAAACGCATTATGTTGGTTTTGTCGTGACACGGCTCAATTAAGTTTGTTTTCCAGTTTGTGAAAGTAAGGTAATATTTGATTACTTCATGAATATAATTATCTAATAAAAAAAAAATATACTTTAAAAATATACTTCATGTGTATATGAATATATGTAATTAGTTAAATAAAGAATAATAATTATATACTATATGAAAAATATAATAAAAAGTAAAAGATATTCAGTTATGATAAAGCCTTCAGTATAACAAGAAACAGCTAAAAAAATCTTATCTTTATAACTTTTAAAATATAAAATTAAGATTGTGAAAATTCAACAGAATTTATGAATGGTATTTATGGATGGTGCACCTTAATTTGATGAAATTATAATTTTACATAGGCCTTACAGCTTTTTATGTAAGGAAAAAAATATTGTATTAAAATGGTACCACTCCCTTTTTTTGCAAAGAATAGATACACTCATCATGATTATCACTAATAATGACATTTTTTGTCTTGAATTGATTCAAAGTCACGCCAAAATCTAATTTTATTATCAAATTGAATGGTCTGAACAATGTATGAGTGAAATATAGGTCATTTAAATGGCTTGAAATATTCTGAAGGACATGTTTATATATCATGAATAAATATTTGAATAAATCCTAAGTAAGTTTTGCATGTATTTGAGGTTAATGTTAGGATATTACAAAATATTTGAAGTTCCTTCTTTTAAGGCCAAAAAACATTAAAAAAATCTTTGGTTTTGGTCTGTAGCCATTATAGTATAGTGAATCCTGTCAAAAAAGAAATTAGAAATATTCTTTATTTTTAATGTTACTAATTTTTTTATATTTATTAAGTAATAGATGTTCATAATTATTGAGATTTTATTTGTTGTACCAGAATGGTTGTGATCACTCATTAAAGGGAGGTAATAAACATATAAAATCTATCTTCTCTTCCTTGAGTACATAATTATATAAATAATGCAATTTAATATTAAATAAAATGTGATAAGTACTATAATAACAGGTAAATATGTACTAAATTCTAATTCATTTATAGTGATTGTAAAAGAAAAGTAAACAGTGTTTTATAAGAAAAGCATTTATACTGACAGTTTGAAACATTAAAGGGAGGTAATAATTATATATAACTTTTTTTCACCTTAATGATATTAAGATAAGTTAAGGTTAAACACACACAACATGTGCTTGAATGTAAGTTATTGTGTACAGGGACAGGATAATTATAAAGGGTGCATGCCATTTCGTCATTTTTAGTTGGCATATCTTATTATTTTATATAGAATTTTAAGTGCTTTTTAATTATTAAACACTTAAAATTTTCACAACATGAATATTAAAGTAGGCTTTTGTAAAGCAGATAGTTATTTGCTTTTTATGATGCATAAAATGACAAAATGTGCCATTAAAATAATGGTCAAATATGCCATGATTAATTAATTTTATACATTTATGCCATGAAATGATTATGGGATAATGATGGATTTGACACCTTAATGTAATAGAATGGTTGTGTTATTGATGTTATTATAATGCAGTTTAGAGTATGTTAAATTGTTCAATAATAAATTAATGATTTATGAAAAATATAACAGTTTTGCCAACAAATGTGTGATATTTATGTTCCACGTTTATTTGACAAATGTATAAATCCATTTACTTGATTTCATTGTTTTGAATATTAACTATTATTTATATGTAAACAAATATGAAAATTATGTTTGATTTTGAAGGGACTCGTTCACTTGACTGAATTTTCTTTTTTCTGTGAAATTGACTCAATGATAAAATGGATATTTTAGCAAATCAATTAAGAATCAATTAAGGGTATCATATTAAAGAACATTGTTTCACTTATTCAGGGAGCAGGGTTATTTGACACTCATAATCTTTTTGAAGCATAATGAGGGGAAAAGATTTTGTTTTGCTGCTTAAATTCTGAGTATTTGTATTTTTTGAATTTTATGTAATGGTTTAACTGTTTGCTACAATTAATAATTGATCAAGTTGAAAAAAGAAAAATCAGACAAACTAAGAACAAGTTCCTTTAAAGTAATATTGATATTGTTGATACTAATGAATATGTTATATTTCTGACAGATATGAAAAATGGATCTTCTGGTATGATTTCTACTTCTGTATATTATTATTTTACTGGGTTCAGGACTTACTTGAATTACTTGCAAGCTTAAGGTTCAATCAAAGGGGTGATTGGACCAATGGCTTTTCAACCATTGTTGCAATGTCAGTCCTAATGAAAATTATAGTGGTGAAAGGGTATCCAAGGTCGAAATAAATATTATGCTGGTGTACTGATGAAGTTTGGAAATGGGCTTTTTGCTATTTGTATAAAGTATCATATTATTTGACAAAGCAGCAAGCAATGGGTATAGTGCCACACTCATTGCTTAAAGCTGAACAGTCATGCAACAGTTATGAAAGCACAAAAAATGCTTAAAGCTGAACATTCTGTACTTAATAAATAAAAGTATTGTTATGTCAGTTGCTTAATTGGTATATCTATTCGGAATACATTAGTCAGATGTTTCAATACAGATAATTAAAAAATCTATTTAAAAGATTGAGTTAACTTAACCTCTAAATAAGTTCTGAACCACAAAATACAAGTAAATCCTGAATCCAGTCCCTATTTGTTTTGTTCAGACCGCTGATATATCTATACTTTCTCTTTATTTGTTCTATATATCATTTTTATGTTCAATATTTTATTTTGTGTAACATTTACACTTCCTTTCAAAAGAATCTGGAGATTTGAGTACTTAGGAAAAATTATATAAAAGTCATTTATTAGTCAAATTAAATCAATACCTTTTGCCAAGATTTGTTCCTGCTTTCACAATGTCAAATAAGTCAGGATGATAATTTAAATTATCTCCAGATAATTTTGGAAATGTGAAATGATACATTATTAATATTTTGTCTGATATAGCAGTTTTAGGTAGGAGGTTTATTATACACGTATAGATTTGACATGGGATTTATGCAACACAATTGCTGCATCATGATTACACATGTTGTTATTAACCGAGTCTAAGATATATATTATGCAATGATGAAACATAAATACATATGTGTATTTGTGACACTTGAGACCTTTGTCTACACATTTATGTCTACACATGAAGCCTTGATACATATATAATCTTACGCACCATGATTCTAAAATATGTAGAAATAACTTTCAAAGACATCATTTGAGTGTGTCATGATAACGCATGGGGTAAAAAAACACATTTAAATGTGTTTACTGAGTGCATCATGAGTACAGGTACATGTGTAGTTAAAAAAAACGTTGAAATGTGTCATCTGAGTGCTTCAAGACGTGTTGTTAGAAAAATAAAGTGTATTGTCTGTGTGCATCTTGATAACACGTGTTGTTAACAAGTAAAGAAACAACAAAACAATTGAAATGTGTCGTCTGAGTGCCTCACAATTACACGTGTAGTTACAGTTACACTGAAATATGCAACACAGCTGCATCATGATTATATGTATTGTTTTAGATTTAGTTACGTTCGGATATATGCATGTATTTCAGAACAATGCATAGCTACAGCAATGTAGAAATTGAATGGGATAGACATGATAGATTTTTTAATAGAAATCTTAGACTATATTTTTTATTACTTTAAGATAATAAAGTGAATATAGTACACTTAATTTGATAGTTCACCTTTAAAGGAATCAAGGCGCTTCAGTTCTATGATTTTCTATCATTTGAATTTGCTTGAAGTATAATATACCTCTACTTTAATAGGAATAATGGTATATTTAGCTTTAGCTGAATTTATGTTAATATTTGGTGTATGGTTAAATTAAATTATATTGAAAAAATAGTACAATGTATTTTTCTTTTCAGAAAAATATATCTTTGAATTGTCTTATTAGGCACCTTGCTTAGTAAGGGCTCCATTATAATATGCTTTTGAAATTCTTAAATTAACAAAAAAGCCTTCTTTTAATTACAATTCACTTTCTTCCATTTCACAATAAATTAACAAACTAATGCTTTTTGAATTAAATAAACATATTCTTAGTAACAAAAACATCTTTACTGCAGCACTGACATATATTTTATACTGCAATATAATGCTTGTTTAGCCATCCTGAAAATGATTAGCCTTTGTTACCAGTATAGACCCAAGCCAGTCTGAACATCCATACAGTCTGACCAGGCTCTATACCAATGGCTGATCAATTTCAAATTTGCATCCTGATATCCCAATAATTGATAATGGACAGTTCCAAAAAAGGAGGCTGGACAAGTCCATCTTAGAAATTCAGCAAGTAAATGGATTGACCTTTTGAAAGTTAATGCCTTGCCTATGGAATATTATCATAGATTTATCCAGGCTAATAGCCTATCAAGTTAACAGGGCTGCCTGTGCTGCATTTGTTATCAAACTCCATTGGTGAAAGTTATCATAATGCAGAAAAGTGCAAATTCAAATTTTCGGTGTCAAATTGTAAAAGAAATGCTATATATTTCAATCTTTCATCTTTTAATAAATTGTTTAGGTTCCCGTAGGCCACTAATTATGCTCCTTTAGTAGTTATGAGAATACACTAAAGTGAAGCATGGTAGTGGAACATTAGACTGATGCGCTCGAGAGTAAGGGTACTTCAGCTGTAGCCTGATCGCAGCCTTAAATAGCCTGCTGGCTGCAATAGGACCTGAGTGCAGACCATGATTAGCCAGTACATCTGTGTATCATGATCTGTACATAATATTCACTTTTCAGTCAGTACTGACATTTTGAATTTTCTGTGAAAATGATGAATGGTCATGTGCGGATTGAAAGATGGAAAAGTCCAATTAAAATATTCAGCATGGTCAATTCCAGTTAACAGATGTATTGATTTATTATCCATATCCACATTAAATTTTATAATACTTGTATAGGTGTCACATACGTAATGTCATATGTCCACATTAAGTCATCCTTGTATTATTGTGTCACAATTGTATCATGTCATATAAGGGTGTCATAGATTTTGTGTCATTGATGGAAGTAATTGTAGATCATTGTCTCCGTATCCTATGTAAATTAAGTCAATGCCATGTGTTATTGTTAGACGTACATTGTTGTCTCATGTAGTCTGTTAATGGTAGTGAATGTCATGTGTTAATTAATGTCAGTTATTGTGAGATATATCCGTATATCAAGTAAATGTCATGTGTTAATTAATGTCAGTTATTGTAAGATATATCCGTATATCAAGTAAATGTCATGTGTTAATGTCAGTTATTGTGAGATATATCCGTATATCAAGCAAATGTCATGTGCTGGCAGTCTGTAATGAAGTTTCTCAGGAACTCACAAAGTATCTTTGTGAAAGGTAGCTCATGGTTAAGCTGTGATGGTAAGCTTGTTTGTATACCACAATATTTGAGGGGGTTACTAAGAACAGGCATTTGTTGAGTTCAGGATAAACTCTTTAATAGTCACATTAAAAAAATCCCAGCATGCCCCCTCACTCAATGTTGGAAATATTCCTCATTATTTTGTCTCCAATTGACCTGAAAGTCAGGACTGATAGAACGTAACATCAACTTGGCTAATAATTTCATTTTCCCCTTTTTTGTGGGGGTTGGGGGGGGGGGTGACTGTTAAAGATTTAATGCCAACATTTCGATGATGCATTTTTAACAGGCTGAAGGTTAATTGTTTATCTAACTTGTTGTTGTTGTTTTTTTTAAACAATATATGACACACTTAAGAAAGTTCGTACAAAGTTAAACAATAAAAGTCTGTCGAGCTCTGTTGTTTTATTGCTAGTTATAATGCATTTTGTCAAAATAATCATCCGAGATGTCATAGTGACAAGACAGGGCGAAATTTGTCTGTTATATAATTATGCCTTTTGTATTATTATCTTTGTTTCTTTTCCACTTTTTAGTTGTCAAGCAAAAAAACCCAAAAAACACACAAACACCATGAGGTTGTTGGTGTTAAAATATCATGAATTTAAAAACAGTTTATGCATATTTAAAAGCTATTGTTATTTTTTGTACTTAATTAGATCATTGTATGTGAAGATTAAAAGAAAAGATTTTTTATATATAAAAAAAGTAATAATTTATTGTTCTGTATATCACACAGGATGAAATATTATTGAATAATTCACCATGCGCTTCGTTTTAATAATACAATTTATGTTAAAAACTGTATTTAAAACAAATTTATGCAAGATGTATCTTCTATTGTGATTATTATAATGAAACATTTCAAGTTTATAAACCCTTTAATACCCTGCTGGAATTTAAATAAATGATTATTTTTTTGTGTTGCCAAGGCCAGCCTTCACACCCGGCATTCTGACCAGGCCCTGTTGACCAACTTTTAAATTTTCATCTTGATATCTCCTAAAACTGATAATGGACAGTTCCAAAAATGTAAGCTGGACAAGCCCATTTAAGAAACACAGCAGGTTAAAGGTTAAAATAACAATTATATTTTTGATCACATAATGTCTCTGTCTCTTATAGATAACATTTGACCCTTTGATTTCTTATAATAATCATGTTAACTGGGGGTTGAAATATATTGCCGATTTTGATACGAAAAGGAGAACATAATTAGTCAGTATTGACACATAATAAATGTCAAATGTTTCTATATCAAATTTTATTGCACGAGGCATAATTGGCATTCTATTTAAAGAAATTTCCCTCCCCACAGTACTTGTAAACAGCTGATTTATATGGCCGCCATTTTTAAATACCTCGCCAGTTTTGAATACACCCATTCATCAGTTTTCGTAATTCATGAAAATAGAACGATTCAAATTCTTCTTCCACTCAAATATATTTACATATTTGATTTCTAATCTTTGATCATAATTTGATAAAAGTATGCCAATTATTTTGTTTTATTATCACCTACCTTGTGATCTGATATCTGCAAAACGCTGAATTGGCTTTAATAAATTCCGTTAAAAGTGAATTCAATAGAATGCCATTTACATTATTCAATGTACGTATTTAGCTTCTATATACATTATTTGATATTCCGTGATAAATATATATTTTTTGTCAGGGATGTCGTCTTTGCTTTACCGCTATATGATAAGCTCGGGACACCCACACGATTCACCAG